CCAAAAATAGTTTGATAGCAATTCAACGAATATTGGCGAATTAAGTTTCACTTTGTTGAGTAACTTATATTCATGTATTCTTTTCCACCCAAAAAGAATTTCAATATCAAAATTTTGAATTTCTGAAATACGAAGTCCACATGTGTACATCGCAGCGATGCAACATTCGTGATATCGCAGTGTTGCCTCATCGCGATATCTCAGAGATGTCATGTCGCAAATGTGTCTGCTTCTGTACATCGCAGCGATGGAACATTCGTAATTTCTTATCCTACATTCATGCAGACATTAATCTCCTTAAATATTTACATTTAATTGTACAACATCCTGTATAGGCTGTTTGGATCAAGACGTATATCTGGAAAGAGGTGGTAGGTAATGAGATTTTGAACATATTTAACCGAGTATTTAACCATATATACTATTATACATTATTATACATGATGTTACAGAAAATAGTTTTTTTAAATTCTGACGAACCAAAACTTTTTTATCACATTCGAATCCAATTTCGTGTTCAATATCGATGAAATACGTATTCAACTATTAAAGAAAAGAAGATACAATCAGATAAAATGTTCGATAAAAAGATGATAGTATTTGATGTGTTTAAATATGTTCGAAATGTTCTTACCTATCACCCCCTTTCAGATATACGTCGGTGAACCAAACACCCTCTATATACAGGGTGTCCCGAAATCAGCCTGCCAAACTTCACCAGCGGCTTCTACGACCAAAAATAGGAAGACACGTTTCAATGTACATTCTAAGGCAGCTGTGGCCCCCTGAAATTGGGATCGTGAGATTCGGTACAAGAACTAAAACTATCTATGCCCTATAGTGAAAATAAAAGTATTTCAAAATTCCATTCAGGAGTGTATAATACAGGGTGGAATTAATTAAATCTTTGCTCAAACTTTTTTGCATGCATGTTTTTTGACAATTTAATCTCTTTACAGAAAAAAATATGCTCTCGTTCCTTATCGATCATATGTATCATTTTCGAGTGAAATCGATTTTAAAATTTTGTTACATCTCACATATTATACATAACGTTACCAATTTTCAAATCACAGTGGCTATAAAAAAATCAACTACTTTCTTTTCACCAAACAATTTCATAGAGGCGTGTAAAATAGGAAAATGATGGTAAAAAAATATTTAATTTTTTTGTTCATTTTTTTTCAATAGCATTCACGATTTATTGCAATGTTTTGCATAGTATTTGAGATTTTACTCGAGAATCATACATATCTGATCGATACAGAGCAAGAGCACCTCTTTTCTTGTCGAAAATTACGCATACAAAAAGTTTGAGCAATAGTTAGTGTTGTCCCACCCTGTATTATACAATCCTGAATGAAACTTAGGAAAGTTTTTTTTTCACTGCATTGAGCATAGAATGTTTATTTCTTGTCCCGGATCGCATCATTTTATGGCGTTTCAGAAATATTCAAGAAATATCATCTTCAGGAGCTACCTTTCAGGGATCCGTAGCTCCCTTAGCAGATATTTTTCGACTCACGTTCATCGAAACTTTCCTTCCTATTTTTGGTCGTAGAAGCCGCTGAAGTTTGGCAGGCTTATTTTGAGACCCCCTATATATGTATCTATGAATAGCTCGTGAACTAGAATCTTCTCCTGGTATTCGGTCCGGTAATTTCAGAACACCCTGTATATATCATCTGTCCCAATTATTCTGGCCCGAATTCCAAAATCAGATATGTATATATTGTCACTTCTGGGGACTCATGGAGCGTTGAAAAAGACCGACATGTGTCCAAAAGCTACTCAAATGAGAAATGATCCTGATTGATGATTGATGATCGAAATTAGTACCAGCGCGCTAAGGAGGTTGATGAACGAAAACTAACCTTCTGCGTATGTCCGGACAGACGATTTCGGCACAAAACGGGCCCTGGCCCTTAACTACCGAATATTCAGTTTCACACGTGTCTTTGTCCTATTCATGGGGCACTAAAAACCACTTGACACCGTACTCGTCCTCCGAACACTTATTCGGATATTTCGATTTCGGTATGTTCGAATACGGGACCCCGCGCGCAGTTTTTTCTTATCACTGTTAAGAAATTTTGGGTGGAACGATTTGAGGACAGTGACACGTTGAAGAATGATCTTCGACACTGTTATCACTCGGATTGTTGTTATGTGTTCATTCTGAAGAGAATTAAATCTAAGTTTTTTTTATTTATCAAATATGAAGTAGAATATCATGAAATCCTTTCCGACCATCAGTTGACTTCCTCCACTGGCGAGTGGCGTGGGTGATTGATAACTTCACATCCGGATTTCTGAATGGGGCATCGCGTTTTTTATTCTCTGACAAATGATTCCTTTATATGTTCTGGTAAACTATACAACCTCAGGATACTGAAAATTTTCGTCTGGAATACGTATTTTAAATGGAAATCAAGGGAATGGCTGTCCTTTCGTTTTTGAAATAATTAAAGATAATTTTTGGGATGTTTTCATCAGAAGATGTACGACACAGGCATAGGGAAAATAAACATTTTTCCGTAATTTCCACTTCCGTATTTACTAAAACAAGTTATTGTTGTTATTCAATGCTAAAACTGAGAAGTTTCTCATGAACAGAGTTTCTTGCATGATCTTCCTGCAGTTATGAGACCTGAATTTCATTTTTTTTTCTATCAACGATTTGCCTTCTGAAGAAAATGCGGATTATATTCAATCGAATTTATAGGTATAAATAATGATTAGGAAGATTAAAACGAATGGACATTTCAAAAATCTAAGAATTCTTGCCAGTTTGAACATTAGGCGAATTGAAAGTTGAATAGTTGGCATAAAAATTCTGAAATCGTGGCAGTTATTAGTTTTATCACTGCCATCCAAAATCAAAACCAATGGAGATTTGAAATAAAAATTGAAATCATATTTTTTTGTAGAAAAAGAATATTTTCAACAAATTATATTGAAAACTATAATGATTTAATACAGATCAAATTTTTATTTGTTATATTACAAAATTTAAAACATCCTGTAACAGCTCGACCTGTCAGTCATATGTTATTATGTTTATTTTTTGTTATAATATGAATTGAATGTTTATCTTGAAATATCTCGAAAAATAATGACTTTATCGCTATGAAGAAGGAGTACGATATTGACGTAGGAAGTATTTGAGAATCGAAGAATTGTGATAAAATGGCAATTTCGCCAGTGGCGTAGAATTTGGGATGAACCAGTCACTCGCCCCTGTCGTACGCCTCTGGTAGTAGCCAGAAACCTTTATTTTACATAATTCAGTAGGGTGTATAGTAGCTATCTACACTTCCCGCAAAACATGTCAATGATACGTAAATTAGTTCCAAAGTATACTATATACATATATAGGCACAAATATTTTCGAAATTTTCAAAGAAACCCTCATGTAACTCAGACAGCAGACATATTTTATCTAGGTGATTTGGGTTTAATCTTCATATTTTGAACTCAGGATTCTATATACCTACCTAGTTGAAATATTTCCAATTAATAATGATGAACCATGTATATGTTACTTATACATGTATAGGCCAAAACCAGCATTTGAATTTTCAGAATTTTCAGAAAAAATATTACCATTTTAGAACCAGAGGAGTGTCTAGTAGAAGATTCAACATTAATACCATTATTCTCGTGAAATTTCTGCTTGAACAGAAATAAATCTAAGAAGAGACATATTAGTTTATTTACTTCCTCAGTGGTATTTTTAGATATGAACCCTCTCTTAAACTTGAAGCAGACTCGGATATGTAATATTATATGGGCCATTGGCCATGCGATATTTTTAATACATAATTAAAATGTTAAGAGTTCAACCTCCGAGAATCAACATAACAGAGCATCAAAATTATTATATATTTTATGCGCAGCGATTATATATATGAATTTGTGTCACTCAGACTCATTCCTGCTACTAATTATTTTCTGACGCATGCATCTCATTGTACAACAAAGTCTGTACAAAAATCATCCAATTTCAAGTTGATTTCTCGAATTTTGTACAGAATAGGTATCGTACCAGAAAATGCATAATTAAGAATTTTTGTATACGTTGTGACTTATATGATGCACACATATACACAGGGTGTTCCGAAATTACATAGAAAGATTTTAACCATACTGATTCTGGGAATAAAAATAGTAAAAAAAGTTCATATAAACATGAGCCTAGATATGGCCTTCTGGGGAGTGCATGAAGCCATCTGAAAGAGAGCCCTAGATGATGGTTTTTGTAAACATTTTCCAAACCTTCTGTGTTGACATTACAAAATTTTGTACCAACATGTATATTACTTTTCATGCGCGATTTGGAAATGTCAAGAACTTTCCTATGCATGAAAATAATATACATGCAAAAAATTTCGTTATCTTAAAACAGAGGGTTTCGGAAATATTTACAAAAAAACATCATCATCATTTTTAATATTCCTGTTCCTAGAATCTGAGGTTGAAATCCTTCAATGTAATTTCGGGACAGCCGAAACCCTGTATAATATTACTTATTTATATAAATACTAATGAAAATACTGATAGCTTTGAATGTTAATGGACGTGGTTAGATACGTACTAAGTACGTACATACTTTGTTCTCATTCTGAAGAAGTATTTAGCTACTACTTATAATAATAGTGACAACTTTATAAGCTTATAATGTAGGATCAAAAACATACCATTGCTATGCTTAGATCATTATCGTTAGAGTATGCAACCAACAGTACGAAGATGTAGTTCTTACCACAGAAGTCACAGAACACAAAATATAGAAATTTCCATGAACTGGCAAGTGATTTGGAAGGGTAAAGGCGATGAGGCTAATGGCCAACAAAGTCAAGATAGGAAACAGTGAAGGAAGGGGAAGAAGTTACAAATAGAATAACCTAAATTTAGTGATAGTCTCTAAGGTCTCAATTCTCAAGTTGAGAGATTGTTAGATTTGAATGACTTGATTGTTTCTCAGGAATTGGAAAGTCATGTTACCGAGACGTTCAATAGTTTCTTTAGGTAATTTGTTCCGCTTTTCCTAATTGGAAATTTTCAGCAGTATTGTTTCAGGTCATGTTATCTCTAAAAAACTATCTACAAATGCTACTAAACCAAAAACAGGTGTTATCATGGTGAATATGGGGGGCCCTGAAAGAGTTGACCAGGTTCATGATTATTTGCACAAAATAATGACTGACAGAGACATGATACAATTGCCTATAGCACAGGAGTAAGTTTTCAGGTTCTAATAACTGTAGTAGAGGATATTGAAATATTGTGAATTTTGTACCTATTAGTCGTTTAGGTGCGTGGATAGCAAAACGTAGAACTCCTGAAGTTCAGAAAAAGTATGCAGAAATAGGTGGTGGCTCTCCAATTTTGAAGTGGACCAAATTACAAGGAAAACTCATGTGTGAAATGTTGGACAATCAGTCACCAGAAACTGGCCCCCATAAACCATATGTTGCATTTAGATATGTTGAACCATTTGCACAAGATGCATTTGCAGAAGTAGAAAAGTAAGTTATTTCTATATGATATACCTTCACCTGGAGTGATTGACCCTTAATTTCAGGGATGGTATTGAACATGCCATAATATTCTCACAATATCCCCAATATAGCTGTGCAACATCTGGTTCCAGTTTCAATGAAATATACAGATTGTTCAAGAGAAGGTAATTATTAGAAGAAATTGTATAAGTAAAAATACTCTCAAGACTATTCAAGACTATTGATTTCAGAGCTCCTCCTAATGGAATGAAATTGACTGTAATTGATAGGTGGCCAACTCACCCATTGCTGGCTAAATGTTTTGCAGATAATATAAGAAAAGAATTGGAACAAATTCCTGAGAACAAAAGAAGAGATGCAATAATTTTATTCTCTGCCCATTCTCTACCACTAAAGGTGAAATTTAGGACAAGCAATCTTGTACTGATTGGTTTGGTATACATTATTGCCTGAGAATTTCAGATTCCCAGAGTGACCTTATCCCAATGCATCAACTTGATGCCTAAAAATTTCACAAATGACTCTATCAAACCTTTCCAGCCATAGCTGAGAAGTTTTGGAAGGTCATGAGCGGAATTGAAGCAGCAAGCTGGAGTATATCAATCAGGGGATATTTCCAGGAAAAATAGTATGACTATTTTATGATCGAATCAGACAACTGATAATAGAGACATCTTTGCTTCCAAAATTGAATACTGATTATCACTGAAAGACCAGATTTGCTGTCCACATATGATCAATTCTGTTTTGTATTGGGAGAGCAAGTCTGATAATTTTTAGTGAATGATAAATATCACTGTAATACAGGAGAAACCATAAAAATGGTCCATTCTGATTGGTTCTTGCATTGCCAGTCTCTTCAATATTCATATGCATACAGTGTTTTCCAAAGGTTGGTGCAAAGTGAGTCTCATAGTTATACAGGAGAGGAAGCTCATTTGGATTGCTTCGGGCCAAACATACATCTATATTATAAAGTATTATTGTTCTTGAGTTATTTGATAATTTTAATTCCTTATGAAGGTTTCACATTCCATTGTTGTGATATTTGTGTGCAAATGTGGAGAAATTGGAAATCTTAACAAAACTCAAAAACCTCTCACATCAGACTTTGCATCAACCTTTGGAACATCCTGTATATTGATAATAACTTCCAATGTTTTAGGCTGTCAACAGAGGTGATGCTTACCCTTCTGAGGTTGGTGCAACTGTCCATCAGGTGATGCAGGAGTTGAACTTCTCTCATCCATACCAGCTAGTTTGGCAGTCCAAGGTTGGACCTTTACCATGGTTAGGACCTATGACAGATGAAGCTATCAAAGGTTATGTCAAACAAGGAAAGAAGACAATGATTGTGGTGCCTATTGCATTTGTGAATGAACATATTGAGACACTACATGAACTGGATATTGAATACTGCAAAGATTTGGCAAAAGAGGTAGAAAAAATGAGCAATAAGAGCATTGTTTTGTGAACTAAAGGGACATTTGTTTTCAGGTTGGTGTAGAAATTATTAGAAGAGTTTCTGCTCCAAATGATCATCCCCTGTTTATACAAGCACTTGCTGATATTGTGAAGTCTCATATCAAAAATAAAGTGCCAGTTTCAGCGAAATTTCTGAACAGATGCCCCCATTGTACAAATGCAAACTGTATTAATAGCAAAAAATGGTATTCTGAAGTGTGTTCCTTTTAACAGAAAAAGTTTCACTATTAGTAAATTGTTTTGTCATGGAATCTTATGTTCAAAATGTTTGTTATGATTAATTTAATATTGGTTGAGGAGACTAGGGTCCAGAGTATTTGATTTTGTTGAATTTTATAAGAGATTGTATGTGAATGTTCTATGTGAGTTCATTTAATGTCATTATTCATAATCAAATTTGAAATATGGAGAAAATTTTAACCATGAACATCATCCTATTGACTTTCTGACATGATTACATGTTCTCCATATTGATTGTTTTTTTTAATTTCCAATAAAAGCTTTATTACAGAATTTGATGTTTTACTTGAATTAAAAATTCTAAATTCAACAATGGACCAAAACAACACATATGATCCAGGTTACAATAGAGTTCTCAATAATTTGAAATTTGAACCAGTAAAATATTTAACCAGATACAACAGATCCAATCTGTTCAGTTATTTTGACAATAAAATAGTTTTCATCATGATTGCAACAAATTTGTGAAAAATTTTAGAAGGGTATGACATACTTTAACAAGACTTAATTAATCATGAGTTTAATCACTTCTGAAACATTACCTTCTCGCTCCTTCAAAATAGAACTTTGTAGTTAGTTCAACCGTTAACTGATAGATGCCGCCATATTACTTGAAAGACAATCAATAAAATGAAAATGGAACATTTTGTTTTCATTGATTATTCAGTAGGAACAGATTTTTTTCAAAAAGTAAGAGCTCCTCTATCGTTTTTCGTTCGATTTGAACCGCCAAGTGTTACCAATAACTATATAGAAATCTCTCGGATTATATTTACTGCCCTATATATAGTATATTCACCAAACTGCCTACACCTACTTTTTGATCTTGAAAGGGAATTCCACAGAGGAAAAATAAAAGCATATATACAGTGAAGTTATACCTAAGTAGGCAACTATCTCTTGTAGACCTTTAGGGTCACTCATAGAATAGAAATCATGATGCATTCTGTACATAAAATTCATATATAATTGAAAGTTTATTGCTTTTATTCTTACTCATGTTGTTATCCATATGGTAATCATGATATATCTATTCAATTCAAATGATTAGTAACCCAGGAAGCAATGAAAGTGAAATTGAAGAAAGTACATTTCTACCATATATAAATTTTGCATAAGAATAAGTCATGGGTACCAATGCTGTATTATCTTTTTACCTCGGAGGGTCTATAATAATTATGGGTTTTGTATATTGGATTTTCATAACATATTATTCTTCTTTCAATTGAAATTATTCGGCTGAAGTTTCAATTATTATAAGGTTGTTATATAATTCATTGATACCTTTTATACCTATCTTCCTACCAATAATTATACAGGGTGATTCTAAATTTGATGTAACTATTTCGTCTTATTGTTGGGATTATTTAAAATTGTGACTAAAATAACAAACCAAATCTTCCGAAAATAGGCATGCCCCTGTCATTTTAGACACTTATTCATTTTCTTCTTGCGAAATTTTATGTTTTGAGATAGAAACTCTGACGACTGAACAAGATGATTTTGTGGGCCATACAAAAATGTTATAATTCGGGCTCTTGCATTTTTCCATACAACTAACCGTTTGCCAGAAAATCGTGATTAACGAAAGGAGAAGTCACGACATCGTTTTCGAACGCAATGGGTTAAACGCTTGCATACGGAGGTGATCGTATGTCGCATGTCGGAACGCATTTGAGATTGCTATTTCAGAGGCGTGCAGTACTGGAATACTTGCATTATATTCTCTTTTTTAGCCAACCTACAGTGGCTGCAGCTCGGAGGGGGGAGGCATTTTAGGGCATATGTTTATAAGAAGAAAAAGTCTTGTTTCTATCCCAACAATACGTCCTTGAAATATTTACATCGAATTTATAATAATGAAGTACCTAGGTAAGTATACCTATACAGGGTGTTTCAGAGTTATGGTGACAGCAAAATATGAAAAAAAAAATTCATATGAACATGGGTCCGAAAATGCTTCGTTTCTGAGATATAGGGTTTCCGAGTTTGAAAAAAAAAGTTTTTCATTATTAAATATTTCGCAGAATTTGAAGATCCTATACGTTCTAGGGAGCGTATTGAATTTCAGGTGTTCTTCTTCTTTGTTTTCATAAATGATAATGTGCAATACATTTTGGATGATATCTAAGCATTTTTATGTTTAGTTATGGAGTTCAGAGATATGCCAAGGTATGGTATTGTCCGTTTTTCTAGTAGGTTTACCTGATTACTTGGGAAGAATCAGAAAAAGAAACCGGGTGACCTATTTCTACAAAAAATGATGCCGACTTATGCTCGATGGAACGCCCCTGGATATTCTGAATCAAATATAATTATTATAATTGGTCCACTGAATGTCTAATAATTGTGTAAATGAACCATACAAATATTAAAAAACTCACTTTTTATCAAACTTGGACAGCTTATATCTCGAAAACGAAGCATTTTTGGATCCATGTTCATGAAAACTTTTCTTTATATCTTGTCGAGTATAATCTCCTCTGGCCTTCTGTCACCAAAACTCGTTATTTAACACCCTGTATGCAATGAAATTTCTCCTAATAGAAATCTACACTTCTGATGGATAAAGGGTCAAATAATTCCATACGATTGCAGCCTCTACCTATAAGGAATTGGGGAATTGGTTTTCACGATTGTTTTCAATTTTTCACAGTTATTTGCATAACTTGGTACCTACAGTATGACCCACTTCTAATGGAAACACCCCTGTATCTTACATAATCGTTGGGTAAGGATCCTGAAATTTGTTGGAGCGAGAGATATACCAAAAATGCACTATATGACCAAGTGGAGTCATCTCCAGTGATATACACTGCTCGCCAACAGCCATGGAACGACCCCAATTTCCGGAAAATGATATTAGGAGTCAAAATAGGTTGAAAATCACTTCGGATTCGGAATCTCTAACTATTCATAGTTTTCCTAGGAAATTTTCCTTTCAGATAAATTAAATTTTGTCTCACTTCTCATGGAAGCACCCCCGTATCTCACGTAATTGTTGAGCTAGGGTTCTGAAATTTGCAGAAGGAAGAGAGAGTCCAGAGATAAAGTCAATTACGTAAGGTATGGGGGTGCTTCCGTAAAAAGTGCGACAAAATTTAATTTTTCAGAATTGAAAATTTCCCAGGAAAAATATGGATAGTTAGTGAATTGGGCGTCCTGATTCCGAATCTGAAGTGATTTTCGACCTATTTTGACTCCTAATATCATTTTCCGGAAATCGGGATGATTCCATGGCTGTTGGCGAGCAGTGTATATCACTGGAGATGACCCCACTTGGTCATAGAGTGCATTTTTTGTATATCTCTCGCTTCAGCAAATTTCAGGATCCTTACCAAACGATTACGTAAGATACAGGGGTGTTTCCATTAGAAGTGGGTCACACTGTATATAAATTATTCCATTACTCAAAATTTATGATTCGTTATAATCTTCTAGAAAATTCTTGAATTTTCCACCTTCTATATATATATCTCAACTGTACAATGTGATTGTTGTATAAGTATGAAAGTGTTTATTCCTGTGGTAGGATTTCATTGAATATTTATACCATTCTGAGAATATATATAATTGTGGTGTCCCGATTCAAATACCAGATACCTATAATCTTGAATTGCTTCTTATTATTTCAATATGTTGTCCGATAGAAGAGCGAGAATAATAAAAATAAAAATATTGCCAGTAATTGCTATGAGTAATAGATAATTAGGTATCTATCGAGGTATCTATCTATACAATACATATCATTTGATAAATGACTCAGATATGAGATTCTCCAATGAATATGCATGGATGAATGTTCAAAATCGAGCTTTGTTTAGGTAGAATTTTCCTCAGAATTTTCCATATTTTCCTTTAGGTTGTAATAATTGAGGATTAGGTTAAATCATAGATAAATAATAAAGAAACCATCAGTAAAGAATTACCATTAACTTGTGGACTATAGTACTTGAATAAATAAATAATTAAATAAATAAACAAATGAATTAATGAATAAATATATAAATGCATGAATAAATAAATGAATGAATAGGTAGATAAATAGTATTTTTAAATACTAATCATGATGATGAAGGATGGAACAACCCCTGTGATATATTATGCATGCTGTACCTACACATTCATTAAAATCTCCTTCAAAAGGTTTGCTCTTTTAGTAGTTTTAGAATCTTTTCAATCGATACCTATCGATGTCTGCATATGAAGGCAATGAAGGATTTATAGTAAGTTTATACCGAGGTTTATACCAAAGACAAAAAGAAAGATCATTTCGCTAATTTACTGCTGACAATTTTTTAAAGAGGCAGCAGAGCGCACGTCTGCGCGAATGGTTCTTTCAAGTTACAGTCAAGTTACAGCCAATACAGCTCGGTTAGGTAGAGAAAATTACCAACGAATAATATAATATAACATACCGCGGCGCGCCACCGCGCGTTCTGTGTTGCTTTATCCACGAAGGAGGTCGGTTTAGTTACACTGTTGACAGATGTGAGCTCGCGTACGATTCTAACCTCAAAATCGCGAATGTTTTTCACAAGTTTCTGTACTTTATGGCAAGAATGGTCAATAAACTGACATGGAACTCTAGCAGTATCGTTTCTATTTATATTATTCTGTTAATTTTTGTTATTTATAGTGCTTGTGGACATAGAATTTGCAGTCATGTGCATCCCAAACATCATGAGGTTAGTTCTTGCACCTTGCACTTTATTTGTAAGATTGTATGGCATTTGTTGGGTGTAACAGTAACTATCCCTGTAATAATATTCAAAGTTTCATTATAGCGAATTCATATTAGTTAACAGCGTATTATTTCAATGAACGATGACAGTCATTCATTTCAATTTATGATTTGATTACATACCGTCTATTTAATTTAAATGTTTTTTTCCGTTTTTGAATTGGCGTAGGTCGCATAACTCGCATATAAAGTTTTGACAATTATTGGTAATAGCAACAAGAACCAAGCTACTCACCCAACTTCCCACCTATGCCAGGAAGGAAGGAAAGTAACTATACTACTACTACTATTAGCAGACTGCAGAGTGCAGAGATTATACCTATTAGTATCTACCTTTAAATCAATTGAATGTACTATACCTGCCTGATCAAAATTCCCCCTCATATATTTTAGTAGGTATCTACCTTTAAATGTACCTGCCTGATCAAAATTCTCCCTCTTCTATTTTGCCAATTGAAGAACTATGTTTTTGATACAAATTGAAGAATTATGTTTTTCACCTATTGTGCACCTATAACTTCTATGACTTTTTTTGCTATTGCATCATCACCTTCACAATAACAATCACCAATCACAACCAAAACAACTGGACTTATTTTTGGAGCCATTTGTTGCCATTTCGGCCGGCCGGACGTACGCATACCAATAGAATTTTGTCACTATTTTTCAGAAGTCCAAAGGTTGGGAACACTTTTAGTGCCATATATAAATAAGGAATACTTATAATCTGAAGCCTGCATCCAAAGGATTATGCATTTTCTTGCACTATTTACAAGAATCAAGATTGAAAGGGGAAAACTTTCGTGGAGTTTTGTTAAAACGTTGAGGTTGCAATATAAATTCTTGTTGCACAGTATATTGTTCAAGAGAATACAAATAAGGAAACATCTTTGAGGGTTCAGACATTTCACATTCAATTCTTAATTAATATCATATAGGTATGTACGAGGGTATGTATAAACCGAGGTATAAACACCCTCATGATTATTAATTGTTCATTGTTAATTCCTAATTGTTAGTTGAATTGAATTTATAAACCTAGTAGGTATAACAACCCGATGACAACTACTTAGTTATATTCATTGACATAGGAATTAAACAGTTCAAACTATGCAAATTTTTCATCTTGCAGGGCCGGATTTACGCGCAGAAGAAGGAACATTTTCATCTCGGCTCTGCCTAACATAATGTCAACTTGAAATTAGAGTGGAGTCTTTAATCTATGTAGTGGTTGAATATGTTATAGAAATGAATGTCGATAAGTCTGGGCGATTTTATTATTTTTACAGTTTCAAAGAAAATGAGGATTGCCCGAGGAGTTGAAATACAATATACCCGAGACAATACATCAGGTGTAGGCGGGTGTACGTGATAACGTGATAGCTTCCTGTGTGTGAATAATATTATACTCGGTTCTCGGTTTCAAAATACCTAATATTTCTCACGTTCATTTTTGCTCGGTTATAGAGTCCGTTTGATATTTGTAAGAATTCAACTCGGAATTTAATATGCTTCAGCTTCGTTTTCCGTTTCTAGCAAGAGATCATAACTAAAAAGTCCCTGAGTACCTACATTAATAAAACAATCGAGCCCAGTAGCGTTAGGGCTGAAGAAACAACATTTCGGAATGTAATGCAATGGAGAAATTCAGGCTGATGCTGAATTCTTGTGATGTTTCTTTCTGCTTTAGTCCCTTCACTCCACTTTGAGGAATTCCCTCGGGAGTTCCAGTCCCTTCACGAAAATAATTCGAAATCAAATAGAAGCTGTAGCAAAACATCTACCAGATTTCTAATAAATAATAATAAACTGATTGCTTTGACTTCAACAAAAGCCATATCCGATCCATAAAATGAGTTTTACTCTGATAATCTCTCTTTGGTGGTTTCCTACATCTTAGATGAAAAAATATCATTAAAAGTGTGTGTTTAGATCTATGTTTACCTAAAACCTCGCCCAAAATGATATATTATGTTTATGAAGCTAGGCAACAACATGCGTTCTTGGTCCCTATGTTTGAGAAGGTCTTCATTCACTACTTATATATATACATTTGCGTATCGCCTGTGCAATCGGTAAAGATTGATGTTATATATGATCTGCCAAAATAGTAACTATTTGAATATTTCTGGTTGGATTGATACTGATAAGAGTGATAAGCAAGTAACATTGTTTCAATGATTGAGATGTTTCCGGATGTTTCAGTCAAGGTCCGGAATTATGATTAAAAGTTGTTTTGTTAGAAAAATTCTGGCATCCAAGAAGTGAATTCTAATATATTCTAATATCTTGAATTCAAATGAGGTTTGAAGCGACATCTGTGACACCAGTTAACGCTTCTGTAAATTCCCATCAAGGTTGATTGATTTCAATGCTCTATTCAACACAATCATTGCTCTTCCATTCTTGACATACTTTTTGACCATATACATATTATAATATTCCTATTCGCGAAAAGGACGGTACCTCTACTGCTGGCGAATTTTGAAGTCGAATCACTCTGTAGCTACATAGGTACAGTCAGATGCAATGAACATGTCGCACATGGACGTTGATAGCACGTCTATTCACTAAGAGTGCTAACATCATCAGACCGCGACATTTCTTTTGCATCTGACTATACAGGGTCTTACAAAAACGTTCAAATGAGCAGACCTGGAGTTATTTGTTTTGGCATTCAGAATCTATTACTGAAATATGAAAATAAAGCATAGTGAACATAAATTTTTTTTCGTGAACTTGTATTTTTTAAATGGAACACCCTGTATTCTATTTTCCTGATTTTAAATACATACTACAGCTGTAGAACGCCAGAAATCGGCTTCTGGCGTTCTACACTTGCCTTAGATCTATATAAATATATAAATATAAATATTTTTGTTTAGTTGTGATGATTCATTATCTAATCTCTTGATATGCCTGAGATGCAAAATGATGTAATCGAATCCAAAATAAGTTTATCTGTGATGACATTAATTGTATTTCTATCGTTCTCGAGAGGTGTTACTTACACGCTACGGTCCATAGAAGCCTATTTAACGCCCTTGATACATAAATAACTATTATTTTCAGATATGTGATGTTTTCCGCCCAATAAAGTTTCATGAATTTAGTTATTTTCATCGAATAATCAATAATTAATATTCATTCAGCCTTTTTCAGTATGAGTAAACTGACGACGCTGTAAACAAACTTGACACTGATAGTTAATACCAGTCAAAAATTTGAATTGATAGCAAATAAACAATACAAATTCTTATGAAAAAATTTCACATTTGTCCTATTTGATTGAACATTTATATGTGTATATATACTGTCTGATGGTTATAAGCATCATTTTCTGAAAATTTTGTTTCGCATAACAGTTTGATAATAATCGTCTTTATTACTTTTGAATAGCAAATAATATAAAAACTATGGGTAGATGATGATTTTCAGAAGCAAGGGGCGGAGTTCATTTCAGTTTCTGGAAGACTCCGTCCACTAAATTGCTCTATCACATGTGGGAACAACAAAGGGAGAAATTACAAAAAAGATAAAATAGTATCATATGAATGTGTTATTGATTTGTATTAAACAGATGTGAAAATATATTCGTTTTGTATTTATGAAACACTGCTGATTTTAATGGATGTGGAATATTATTGAAAATATGGCATATCTGCTAACTGAAGCATCTTCGGAAAAGTTCTGTTTAGGAGACAGTGTTCCTCTAAACCTAATATTCACATTGTGAACGTCCGTACGGAAAACATTTTTTTTATGAAGATAGGAAGGTTTTTTACTGATGATGCTTCTACGAAAGAGCTTAGCGGTATGATGAAGCCTCCTGTTTTCCATTGTCAGCCAATAGCATGTGTTAATTTCTAAGAGATTCTTTGGCACTTCTTATTTTTTGTTCACCTAGACAAATTCTTCAGAAATCTCTCAATCTTCAGTATATCTCTAATCATAAAAATCCTTGACAAATCTTGAAAATCTCGCAGATATTTGGGAAATCCTAGGAATCTTGAGGAATATTCAGGAATCTCTCAATCTTCGCATAAACCTCACAAATCTTTAGAAAATCTCTAGAAATCTTAGGAAATCTTGGAAATCTTGGGAACCTTAAGGATTACTATAAATCCTCGTACAAATCTCATCAAAAATGCTTCGAATCTCACAATACCCAAACTGGCGAGCAATCTGGTGTACCATCAACCCTGTGATGAAAGAGTCCCTACTGTTAAGGGGAATAGGCAAATTCCAATCTAAGAAAAAATGACAGCCAAATTCGGTCCCGCCGTAAAAAAATTAGAGGACGGAAGATCTCGAGAAAGATCTATACTTTTTATCTGTATACAAGTCCACCCGAAGTCCACCATAGATTTCTAGACTTTCAGATTCACCCTGTATATGGCGAGAGCACAGGATGTCGAAGTTTCAGGCCTTTTAGAATTTGTATCGCCGGATTGAGTCCAGAAATCGGGTTATCATTTCGAAAACACCATAGGGAATCCCCTCGGGAATCCCAATTATGTAGGGAGGATATAGAGAGAAAAGGTAGGTATTGGAATTTGTTTCTATTTTTGGAGATAACAAGTTCTTGGGAATTCTTCACATCCTCAGGCAAAGAATTTCAAAGCTGTTTCGGAAGTCCCCATGATTGGACCAGAGTTTTTTATTCATAATCGCAAATTAACGAAAATTGGAGAAATATTCATACTTCATGAATAACGCCATGGATGATACTTACATAGATTGATAAATAAATATTGAAATCTATATATGTTTTTACAATGGAAGTGCAACAGTATCTTCACAAATAATTTCCTCAAAATGAAGTGGCGTTTATAAAAATTGTTCCACAATATTAAGATATAGTCTCGAAGATAGTTTTCATCGTGATTTCATTCTATCTAAAAGTGTGAACGATGACATTACTACATAATTTTTTCAAATGTA